TATAAACTGTAAACTTTGCTGAACATTTCGCCCTCGCCGATGTCAGGAAATTGTTGTGAAACGACATAGTATGCCAAAAGATAATACTATAAACCTGTTCGTCGATTTTGGCGTGATCTATCGTAATGTTCTTGCACTGTATCTGTCGAACACAGAAAATATACTCGAACATTAGAACCATTGATGATGAGGTCGGACACAAAACGATTAATCACAATTCATATAGTATTTGATGTATGATGAACAGTTTATAGTTTGGCGGTGTCAATAAGATAAAAACAGTTAATTTTGAGCTAGCTACTTCATCATTATATGTTCATGTTAATGATATTAAAGATGCCACAAGTAATTGGGCTTTTACAGCACTCCAACGAGTAAAACTATCTATAATCGAAACGCGCTAACCCAGTAAAATCAGAAGTCAGAAGCAAGCAGTTTCGAGAATATGTTTGATAGGCTATCGACATATCGAGAGGTGATTGATCTAAGCTGGCTAGCGCTTGCAGGAAAAGTTAGGCATATTGTATCCACTCGTGATCTGGCACGAAAGCGTGACCGAGCGCCTTCAGCTTGGTCAGTTCATTAAAACTAATGCGGTTAGCATCAAATTACGAAGACGTAGAAAGCTATTGATTTCGAGGGGTTATTTATCGCTACAGATCACTCCACCCCTTTGTTTGGTAATAGTGACCCCAAGACGTGGCCAGCCAGAAGTTTAAACCCATCGAGTTTGCCGTTGGTAGACACTGTTCTGATAGCTTACTATGTTTTGCAGTGTCTTGTAGCCTTTCTTTACTACAGGGAGCTATGCTGTACAATATAGTAACAAAAAAACAAGGTCTTACGTAAATTTCGGTTCGTCGAAAACGTCGCCGTTCTTTTTTCTCCTCCAGAACGACTAGAAAAGAGAAAAGGTTACGTATGCGCATGTCAAATTACACTATTATATGTGTAGAGACACAAAAAGAGCGAAAAAGGAAGATAAACTCGTTTATATGCGTTTAGTGAACACGCAATAGCGTAAAAAGATTCTTCCAGAGTGATTTTTTAAAAAAATATACACATATAAACCAGCATATTAGGAAATAAACAAAATTTTGTCATTTTTTTGGTATATATATATATATATATATATATATATATATATATATACACCAAAAAAATGACAAAATTTTGTTTATTTCCTAATATGCTGGTTTATATGTGTATATTTATATATATATATATATATATATATATATATATGAGCATATTAAGTATATAAATCAAGACGAAACGAAGTGCTATGTAGTGCCTTACATGTAGTAATCGTTTAGGTGTTCTGGAAACCTATCTCTTCTTCCAGAAAGCATTGTTTTTGGTCTGTTCTCAGATCACGCACAAGTATCACCGTGATTGCTGACTATCGGATGAGGTATCACAATTGTGGGGCTCATTTCTTCGATTGTACCGAAGGAAAATATATATGAATAGCGTTTCCCTCTAAATACACGATTTTTATGCAATCGATGCTGTTGCTATTGTTAGTTCCGTTCTTATCGATTATATGGTACTTTGGTTCAAGCTGAAGAACTCTAAATGGCATTTCATATGCTGTTTCGAGAGGCCGTCAAAGTGGGTCGCGCCGTACAATGACGTAAGTACTATATCATAGGGCAGGTAGAACGAATACATTAGTTGATTGAGGTCATGTGAAATTAGGTTTAACCGTACTCACGGCGTTTGTAAGCCTTTTCGTGTTAGAGTTTAGATCCGTATTCACTGAAAAAAAATAAAGGGACAACGAAGTCTAACGGAAGTCGAAGTGTCGTTCAAGAAACGAATTAGATCGCAGCGTATCCAATTTTAGCTTACACTGAATTGCGAATACCATGTGAGACGAGTGGAAGAGCATCGGTCCACTGTGAAATGTTTGCAGCTGAGAGAGAAGCGCTGAGCTGCCAGTGAAAGCGTTCTAAACACCCGTTTGTTTATGAGTTGTTGGCAGTTCTAAGGAGTCGTGGGATTCCTAATAGTGTAGTCAGACAACAGAAAAGTTCAAATTCAAACTGGAGTCCATGGCCTGTAGTGATAGTTGAAGGGCCGCCGAAGTTTGCTGCCCATCATTCGACGAAAGTGCGGGCCACTCTTTCAGCAGCAATGCCCTTGATGGGTACTGCTTCTGGCCATGGGGTCCATCAGTTTTCGCAGGTTTAGAGATAAGAGTGTCTTTTTAAATCTGGTAAGGGTCCTAACAAATCCAGATGAACATGGTCGAATCGAGCATCGTGAGTTTTGAGTGAACCCAAGGGACATTTGTTGTGTTTAATCACCTTAGACTTCTGGCAAATTTCACAGAAGCGTGCCTACTTCCTCACGTCTTTATTCATAACAGGCCAGCAAAACAGTTCTGCTATGAGCTTGATAATTGCTCAAACACCTGGGTGAGAAAGCTTGTGCAGTGTATTAAAGACGTTGCGTCCATAATATCTCGGTGAGAATGGACTATTCCTACGTGTAGATGTGTCGCACAGTATGGTTTACCACTACAATAAAACCCGCTGATCATGTGATGAACGTGCGCAAGAACATTGAAAATGGTTTTAATTGTCAAAAAGTACTAGGCTGTTTGGAAGTTAGTGAAGAGAAACATAAAACCACAGTTTCCGTGTTTTTTCTCATTTCGGGCGAGGTAAAAAAAGTTTGCGAACTTATGACTGTGGCTAGAGCTTAGGGTTTTCAGAAATCTAGTAAACGGAGGCTAAATACTGTTTTGTCGCAGAAGCTTGATCTGAATTACCTATTTGGTTGCCAAAAGACTCTAGAAAATTAAAATAAAAAACATCTTTCTACTTACATGAGAACAGATTAGGGGTGCGAAATTCCTCTGACTATTTAACCTAATCTTTATTTGAGTTTACACAATGAAATTTCGTTTTCCATTTGTTGTTAGGCATTTCACAGTTTGTTTGGGTTCATTGCAGCTATACTTTACATGTGTATAGCAATGGCTGTCGATGTTTATTTTTATAAAACTTTTCAGATGCACTCTGTTTGTTTTTGTCTCTTTAATCCAAAGCTTTCGTTATTATTTTTTACTGCCTTTCTGGGAATATAAGGTAAAAATTATGGGTGTGTATATACATTATAGTAAGCTGTTTGTTGTTTCTGAAGATGGTTTCCTATATACAAGTTAGACGTTAATTAGGCGAGTAAATTTTATATTTCTGTTTACTTTGTCTTACAAAGAATGTTTGGATATAGTAGGAACGGACAGTAATGCCATGAGAATTTCATCATACTACCAAATGAACTGAAAAGGTTGTGATTCCTCAATTATTTGAACAGCTAATACGTGTACTGTAATCATCTACGTAACAGCCACAAGGGAACAATGCACCGTGTAATAAACAATTATATAGGTTGTTTGATGGATAGTGTTCTTTTTATGATTATATTGTAGTGACCTATTTTTATCAACAAAACGCGATTAGTGTAATGAAAATAATTACTATCATAACCAGTTGTACCAGGGATTGTTTTTCTGTAACTGTTTGTTTAACTGTACTAAGAATGTACATTCTTCCGTTGCTTGTGACCTTGCACGCACTTACGTTTGCTCAGTAGTCCCACTTGTATTCCTTTGGCATGGTCTTGGTATTCCTTTGATACCACGAGATACCCAACAAATATATCTTGACTACAGCCATCAACGTCTTTTTGATTCCTGGTTTACTCGGAGGTTTAACCTGTTCTGGTAAGCAATCGTCTTGTAGTGGTCAAACGTTACTCGACACAATACTACAATGTCGACCGTACCGACCACATTTAATGTTATACTGCATATGAAGATGTTGGAGAATTAACTAATATACTGTCAACGAGTGGTTAGTGTGTCGAAAACAGTCAGTGGTGTTTTAGATGTTATGAACCACTTAAGTCTTCGTATTCGTGCGCATAATGAGTATGCTAAACCAGCATTTTATGATGAGTAACGTGGTATGTTTGTGAGTCGTGATGCCAAAATAGATAGCAACTTATTGCAAAGTTTAACATTTTGAGTTTCATAGATTCTTTTGCGCAAACTGCGAAAAGTGCGACGTTAAAGTTAAATATTTACTGTTTTTCCGCTGCATTTCTTAACGTTACGGCAAAATAACGATGGTGTTATATATATTGACTTCTGCTCTGAGTGGCTGTTTAGGTATTATTAGTGTAATAGCTTGATGAGTAAGGAAAAAATATATATGGAGAATATGGCAGGGTTTGTGGTGGTTTCTGTAGACCGTTTAGGCATTCGCAGGACCCGAATTGCATGTAAGTAAATGGATAACGAAATCAGGGTGATGTACGCGTAATAAGAATGTCGGGTAGTGGTTTACCATGACAGAAAACCGTAAATGCAAAGTGGATAGTAAGCACTGTAAAATAAATGGCAACCATCCTCACTACCTGACCGCGAGATGATTTGACTAAAGCCCAGTGACACTTCCTTGGTCCTACAAATGCATAGTTGAAAAACACAGCTGAGAACACACACCTGATTATTTTTGAATACACCACTAGTCGGTTTGGATTTTACACACTACTGGACATCAATATTTTGTTGCAATGTGCATAGCATCTAATCGACGTTGACCTCAGGTTTAATTGATTTCGAGATCATTGCCCGGTAATGCTTTCAAGTTAATATATCACTAACGTGAAGTACCTTTGTGATTGTGCTAGGATTATTTCAGCTGGAGAAGAATGGTGTGACTTACTAGCTTACTGACTTACTCGCGGTTAATTCTCAGTGCTGTTTGGCTGAACGTTACCAGATGTTGGCTCGCCGACTAACACTGCCAATAACGTTTCCAAGAAATTACAAGCTGTCGGAATTTTGAAATTATTTATCATCACGTCTCTAACACTTTTCAACATATTAGTCTATTCATCCTTGCTATTTTTCGATCGGCGGGTTAGAGCAACTGAAGGTCATCCTATCAGTCGCTCAGGTCGGATCTGAGACTCAGGTTTGTATGGTAAGGACATAACCCCTACAGTCTATGTTAGTGCCTTTCTAGAAAGCTGCTGAGAGTGTCTAGTCTTCCTTTGGATGAGTCATTTGAAGAGGTGGACACCACTTCGGGTAACAGGTCCGGAAAATTGATGGACTTCCACGGGTATCTACCCTCTGTACTTTTTTGGTGCAGACAAGTCATCTTCGAAACAGGGGTTTAAAGCGTAAACGCATCTCATTAAGGTTATGTATACTGCAGTGAACATATTAGTATCCAACTTGGCAAATGTCCGTCTTAGAGCCTATGTTGTTGTAAACCTCTTAGCTGCAAACACGCTCTAGTGGGCCGTAGTCTTAAGATCATGGTTCATTGTTATCCCAAGATAATTGTGAGACCGAACTGCGGAAGTGACACTTCACCTATGATGCATCTATTAACCGTTATGTCCGCAATTTTACATGTAGACACGGCCTCGTTGGTAGGCATGCCACCGTCTAATTTAGTTTTGAGATTTCATATTAACTTATAGGATTCTGGTTAAGTTCACAAAACACATGTACATTATGTACTCAAAGTAACTAGTTTCCATTTTATTTGTTTATTTATTTGAACACAAACATTGGTACAAGGAGATACCAAATAAATATGCGTCACACCACCATTTGATTTGTATGGGGGTTGGGACACTGTCTGGTCGCTCAAACCGAAGCAGGTGATTTTATCAAGTGGCCTCTCGAGCCTCTGACCTACAGATCTAACCCATAAGACAATGAAGCAACGTTAGCAGATGCAGTCCCATGGTAGCCGGTGACCAACAATAGGCTCATAAACTATTTGTCCCTTCAGGATCCTGGAGCCCATGTACACCACTGGTTTGGAATCAGGGTTTTTCAACTCCCCTAGGTGGATCCTCCGTACCCACCAAACCGGTTAAAGCGCCGAACATTCGCTTTTCGTCCTTTCAATTTCGTAAACAACACCCTCGCCGAGAGAAGGCAGTGATTAGGACTTCCCTGTTAGTGGCTGTATACACAACCATGTAAGGGCATTCCGAAACTTTCCCCGTTCGGCCGTACCAGGGTATTTAAGTACATTTGTCCACCATATGTAGTGGTACATATGAGACAATAGAAAATAAATTCGATCTTATCAAGCTTTGTATTATGTGACTTGGGTCAAAAAAGGCCATTGTAGTGCAGGGACATTTAATCCTTATCTTTGTATCTTGGATCTTACCACTTATTTTTTATCACTTTATTTCACGTTTCAAAACATTCTTTGAGTCCTTGGGCTCAAAGTAAGGCTATATTTCCTTGCATATCATACCCAATTTTTCTACAGAAATTTATTCTTTATACTAGTGTATTTTGGCGTCCAGGACTCGCTGGTATGCTGGAAATATTGCATTCTTAATCGGTTTATGGAAGCTCTCTATAGCGGTTTTCTCTTCTAGTAAATTTTGTAGGACTTGGAGCTTGTTGCTGAGATCTATCGTGAATTTGCCTTAGTACATCTACTTTTGCATGTGGCGCGTTTCCTTCTTCGTGACTGGAGTACAATAACCGCTTTCCTGAGGTCCGTCGTTTTTGTCCAGCTTGGTCAGAGTCGTCTATTCCAAATACGGCCAGATTTTATTTTAATTGTGCCAATTCTTGAAGGGCCGTCATGGCGCCCCACGATTTTCGGACATTGCATATATTTATTTTTATTATTTCCGTGGTTGTCAAAAGGGGAGTTGGGCTTGTGACTTCCGGAGATTTCCGGCTTTCAGCATAAGAGGGATTATAGTTTCTACATAAAGCCCTTTCAACTCTCAGGGCAGAGTTATATTGTTCACCTCTGATTATCTTTTCCACAGAAGTCTCACAAAGTGAGTTTACTAACTCTAACCCAACCCTGCTTTACGCAGTCTTGGGATGGGCAGTAATCCTAAACAGTCCCCAGGCGACGTATCTCACATATTATTAAACTACCCATTATTACGTTGTTTAATGTTGTCAAAGGATCTAACTACTGGGGCTACTCACCAAGTGGCAAGTTAGTTGCGCGTCCTGGAAAAACACTATATTTGAACTGTTTCTGGGGTAAATGAATCACCTAGCCAGAGTTTATGTTTAACTGTATTATTACCGTTCCTTAATAATGCTTCTCATTTAATAGACGAGTTCTCAAAAATTTATCAACAAACTAACTCGAAATAGATATTGTAGGATTTAATTTGTCTTACAGATATTCTGCTAAAATTGAATACAGAATTCAGCTTGTTGATCTGAAACCTGGGCATATAATGATTCTTTCATTCGGTTTTACAACACTTGAAAAATCTCCCCGGTATTGATAGTAGTATGGTGCCTCTGTAGTTCATATACTTTCTGAAATCTCCATGTTTTGGTATATTTATGAGATATTCCCAGTCTGTCGGCACTCATTATTCCTCCCAAATCTTTCTAGATAGAACGTTGAGTATGTTTGCAGTTACTTATATGTCTGACTTTAATGCCTCGGCTGGTATAGTGTCAGGTCCTGCTGTTTTAACGCTTTTGATTTGTCTGATGACCATCTTGATTTCTTTTGTTGTTGAAGGTCTGTAGGTGCTGCTTCGATATCTGGTGTATTTAATGGGGCTCGCTTATTCAAGTTTTTTGAAGTATTATACTACCCATCTGTTCCTCTGTTCTCGAATTTCGGTGATTGTCTTGCCTTGTTTGTCCTCGATCGATCTCTCTGGTTTGCTATATTTCCCTGCTAGTTTCTTCATTGTGTCATGTAGTTGTTTCATATTTCCTTATCTTGCAGCTATTTCTGCTGTCGTTGCTAGGTCTTCCGCATATTTCTGGTTATCGGCCCTAATGCTCCTCTTCACTTGCTTGTTTGACTTCAGTGTTTCAGCCGGTATGTTGTCTGGTCCTGCTTCTTTTCCACTCTTGATAGATGGTAGTAAATAAATCATGTAGTCATTTTGTCTACGTCATTAATCATTCATATTATTAACCTACAGTGACGGCTATAGTGATGTGCCTCCCACTCATTAATATCGTTAGTTTGGAATGTATCTTGTTGGCTCTCGCATTACTATCCAAGTAACTACTGTAGTCGGCAATTTAAACGCATTATATACTTGTTATTTAAGTGCTTTTCAAAAGCCAGGATAAATCCACTGGCTATCTTGAAGCAGTTAGGTGTCTTCAATTTTTTATTATTAGTTGCTATACCACTATGTTCTCCTAACTTACCTCATATCTGTGTCTATTTTGATTTAGGCCTTAGTGCGATGCGAAGACATGGAGATCAAGACTTCTCACCCCCGTCGAAGCGACACAGAGATCGATCAGGATATTCAGAGAGACATCGATCGGTATCTCGAAGCTCTCCTAGTTCGAGGTCTAAGTATTCTCTCTCAAATAGACATTCTTCAAGACCGAAGAATTCGGAAGGAAGAACTCATGGGTTAGATCATTCTAGAACTATATGTGTAAGAAACATTTCATCTAAGTTGAGTGCTGATGTTGTTGAACAATGTGTGTACCGGGAACTAGGAAAGTATGGAGACCTTTCTATCAATGTTGGGCATTTGGGTGGCGAACGCGTCGCTCTGGTTACATATCAGTAAGTTTTTCAGGTACACATTAATTAATTCACATAAACAAACAGTGTTTTTCTAAACATTATTCTGAATCTACATTGTTTTTGACGGAATTTTTTTCGTTTCTGTACTACTTCAGTAACACTGGTTCAAGGAGCCTTTTATAACGTAGGTGTATTGTTAAACTTTGTTCAATCTTTGATTAGCGAAATTAATTTAGTTTTAGGATTAAACCACGATGAGTTTGGTGATAAACTTTGAGCTGATTAAATTTCCTAAATCAATTCATTTGAAACTCATTTATCAAGAACAATTTTATTTATTTGGCTTTAAGCCGTACTTTGCTAAAGCTATAGTTATACTACCTAGTTGTACAAATCGAAGTAACTAAACTGAAGCTTGAACAAGTTTTTTAGTGGTTGAGAGTCAAACACCCTAAGCGTCAAGCTACCACTTTACAGATTCCTTTTAAGATACGTCGATAGCTAATCAAAGCATGATGCTTCTCCTGAAATAACAAACACACATCCAACTTCTTATTTCATGCATGCCTTATACGTGTTAATAAACTTACTGTGTCATTCATTAGTGCGTAATCAGGATAGAGATAGTTTGTCATAAAATGAGCTACTGTACAATGATTATTCGACTCGTCATTCGGATTGAATTAGCCAAGTGAATATCCCTTTGATAATACAATTAGATAAAGTAATTGCAAATCATCTACTTTCCAGATCTATCCCGATATTTCATTACTAGTTTGTTTTCTTTTACTTTTGTGACAAGCAAGATAGACTTATTCATAAGAGGAGAACTTCAAAAACACATCATTGCACCCATGACTAAAAGAGCAAATGAGGAGGAAGTAAAATACATACCTACACAAAAATTATGGGTAAAAGCGAAAAATATCTAAACTTGGAATGTTTAGTGTGTCGAAGATAAAGAGTTAAGGTATCCAGACCACTATAAACGGTTTGTCATCTAGGCTCTAAAACCACTAGTTCCTGTCACCCCTCTTAAATTTGAGAGCGAGACAGTGATTTCACAGGTCGCCACCCTGTCTTGTTCTGCCTACTTTTAATCCTTTTCCAATGATTCTACTTCAACCAACATCGCTTGTAGTAGACTGAGCCGGTGTACGTAAAATGCTTTATTAGTCAGCCATAAGGTTGTTCATCTCGACCACGCTTTAGCTACTTTAATTTAGACAGCCAGGTATTATCGGTATTCGCCACACCGGAAGTGTGATTTGAAAATAAGTATATAAACCTGTACTTGATTAAAAATGTAACCTACTGGATATCAATACAAGTCAGATTTGAAGAGTTGAATAACTAGTGTAAGTACTTTTAAAATTATAGGATAATTCCACTGGTCGTACTACAGTTACGACTGCAAACAATCATGGTACGAAGCTTCGGAACAATCGTTTGCTAAATAAGCCATAATTATAAAAGATAATGTATGTAATGCCTAGAGGCTTAAAATTCAGTAAGGCGTGTGTTAACTAATCATACATGTTGTGTTTACGAGTCACAAATGGACTGATGTGAATAAGGATTTCAAGAATTTCATACGCGATTCTCGGCACAAAACTCGAAGTATAAATTGAACTTATGCATAACATAAATTACGCTTCATATAACGTCCCAGAATAGATGTAATTACTTGTTATTAGTTTATCGTTATGAAAACTGTTATCACTATTTTCCAGTGTCATGTATTATTAACTTTTTATCTTCAGATATTCTGAAGACGCACAAGAAGCTCTTTGTGATAGCCCAATAATTTACATACTTGATCGTCCTGCAAATGTTACCTCATTAATTGATATTTCTAGTGAAGGTGATACGCGTAAAGTAATTGCCAGCAAAAAACGTCAAGAAGGAGTGGAAGCCGAAGATATTAATGACCGACGACATCTTATGCACAATATTTCCGGCAAAGTAGAGTCCGCTTTTCCTGATTTTTTACCTAAACCAACTCCACTAGGTCCATCAGGTACTACAAGCCTACTTGGTATGCCTGGAATGACATCTTCTGCCATGATGGCTGCTGCTGCAAAGGCTCTTGGTCTGAATGCTGTCCCTGGGGTGTTGCCACCTGCACAATTAAATGCAATCACTTCTCACAATCGCTTTGGCTCTGCAAACCTTCGACACTATGAACATACCAGAAGTGGATTCTCTCCTGGAGCATCTGATTCAGAAAAGGAGTCGAAAGCCACAAGGACTTTGTTTGTTGGAAGTTTAGAACCAGACATAACGGAAAAAGAGGTACTCTCAGCTTTTGAGAGGTATGGTTATGTTGAACAAATTGATATTAAGCGTTCTCCGAAACCTGGTGCCCATTCTTATGCATTTGTACGCTTTCAGAATGTTGATATGGCCAGTCGTGCAAAAATGTCCATGTCTGGTCGTTTTATTAGATCCTTACATTGCAAGATAGGCTATGGTAAAGCGATTCCATCGCACTGTCTGTATATTGGTGGATTAGAATCTTGGCCTTCCGCTGATTCACTGCAGCGTATGCTTTCTCGTTTTGGACAACTAACTTATCTTGACTGGTCTCCTAGACGTAAATATGCAATCGCCATTTATGACAGCTGTGAATCAGCACTCGAAGCTAATAGACAATTAAAAAGTCTCTCAGCAACCAGTCGTCCAAATTTAAGACTTCGTGTAGATTTTATAAACCCAGAATTAATCCAGCCAAAGCCACAGATTTTAAACAAGACGGACTCTAACATGGAAAGTGACAGTCAGGACAATCAAATGTCAGAATCACGAAATGCTATAATTAGGTCTGATACTGGAATTCCTGTAACTGCAAATAACTATCGTATTCGAACAAATGAACATTTTGATGGAGGGCCGTACATGATGAACCAGTATTGCATAGAGGATCACGCCGGTGATAAAAATCTCACTAATGTACGACACTTACCTTATGCAAAACCATCTTTTCATATATCTAATCGGTATCACACATATAATCGGAACACACCTCGCTACTCGGACAACCACGGTATACTCAATCCAGTAGAAGATATTCCATGTAACCTGAAATCAATCGTCACTCTCCAAGAACTAGACCAGCATCTACAACCGGATTTATGGAAAGGAAAGTTCTTATTAAAAAATAACCATTTTTATTTTCGTTGTTTGATGTTAATAGGTAATAAAGATATCAGTCAAGACTTACTGGATTATAGAGACAATAACAGTAATTCCGAACGACTATGTAGTCCGACTTTACGTATTTCACGCCGAGGCACTCTTGATGCTTCATGGATGGCTGAAGCCACGCATCGTATTCATAATGTACTATCTACAGTTCGTCATAATTTATGCCTCATGCTAATATTACCCGATATGGAGCAAACTAATAAGTATCTGGACAAGGAATCTAAACTGAATAATCAGTCGAATACTGAAAGTACGGATGTAAAAACAACAATAAGTCATTGTTTTTCACTACACGCTTTAATTGCTTATTTAAAATTAAAACAATCAGCTGGTATAATCTGTCCAAATGAAGAAAAAGTACTACAAGAATCATTGAATACTAGTTCCGAGAAAACAACTACAACACGACGTTCATCTTTGATAGTATATTTATTTGCACCAAGTAGTTTTGCATTAAGTTTATTAAAACAAGCAGCACCTTGCTTAAGTTCAGACTTGGCAACAACAAGTGATTATATGGTTCTTTTAGCATTAAAGCGGTAATATAAAAAAAACCCTTTGGTCTAGGCAAAAAACAACACACTTTGATTTCTTATTTTCTTTATTTTGTACAAATTTATATGTATGTAAGCATTTTCCTTTAATTCACTTGTTTATTTATATTGTTATTCAGTTCGAAATTAAAACAAATCGTTTCTGTGAATCATAATCCTATAATGTTATATATGTAACAATTTGGTATGTTGTTTTGTCTTTTTCGGTTAAAACCAAATCGAAATTAACGCTTAAATATTGGTGTTCAAAATTCTTTATAACAACTTTAAATTTTAATAACCGATATTTAAACAATATTTGCAAGGTTGTTTCATTTATGTTATAAAATATGTAAAATAAAATGGTGTACAAGTAAAAGTTGTTCTATTATCACCATAATCACAATTTATATTAATTAATAAATTAGTGAAATCAATTAATAAGAAAATACTTTATGAATAAATTCGATGATTAGTATATATATTATCGCCAAATTTTTATTACACCATCCATTGAAGCAGAGACTAGAAATGCTTGACCTGCTTGAAGAACAGTTAAATCAGATATAATATTCTTATGTCCTTTAGTTGATTCACGTAATTCTAAACGTCCTGACAAAGGGAATGCACTATTTGATACTTCTGTTATATTACTTGATGATTGTAATTTTTGTGATATTTCTGTGTACATTGTTTTTGTTAACAAACTACTTGATGTATCACTAACGGAAGAAGTATCAGTTTGTTCAATCAAAACATAGACATCATTTACATATGTTGACCTATTAACAATAGAAGAAAATGATCATTTTTTGGAAAGCTTTTTTAAAAGAAATATATATAGTATTAGTTCACTTCCTGCGTGATAATGGAAGTATAGTTATGTAGAAACATTTTTTATTGTTGAAAAAAGTAGGTTATTTGTCATCTTGGTTAGGAGGGTGGCAAAATAAAAATACTGACACCAGTCTATAAATTCAATGAGTCTTGGTCTAAATCACGCTAGTAGATGCAGACTACTTGGATAAGGTCCACACGATGACCGCAATCACTGTGGCTAAAGACGTTGGTTGACACAGCTCAGAACCTATCACAGCGGTTCAGATCCACTAGCTCTTTATCTTACCCAAGATTTCTGGTCCCAGTATTACTCATTTATACATACCTCTATATCCTGTTTTTCGAACCAAATTCTCAGTATTTAGTATTTTTCAATAAAACTGAAACTACAATAACATGACTCGTCACTAATCATCTTGTCGTGCTAGTGGGGTATGACAATTTGAGCTAATGGATATTTGTCTCAGGCTTCATGTTGATTCTAACTACTGAATGACAATGTTACTTCATTCAGGTCAACTTTTAGTGAAATAGTTTACATCCCATTATTGATGATAAATATTTTTTTTCAAAACTATTCACATTTTCTGTCTTATTTTACACAAACAGTAAGAACATTTTTAAGACGAATTGCACAGTACTATCGCCAACTGGTTCGTGATTTATTAGCCAAAGCTAATGCGTACCAAATTATCATTTCCATCAATAGATCTCCAGTGCTACATAGATTGCCTAGTGGATATAGTATTTGATACTATTAAATCACTAGTTCATAAATTTAGCTAAACAGTACAGCAAAGCAGAGTAGAAGTTCGCAAATGAATTGAAGAATATCGATACGGAAAACGAATGTGTTGGTTTTGTTTAGTCATTACGATAAGCACAATTTCGATATGGGGATTTCAACTCGTGTAAACAACTCAACCAATTATGGGCTTTCATTCAAGTAAATTGTAGCATACTATTAAAGTACTATGATTTAGTGATCAGTTTTTACATTATAGTGTATGGAACCCTATATCATAACTAAGCTTCGATGACTTAACCCCCACTTATGAATCGTGGTGCCAAACGGATAGTGAGAAAGGCAAAACATTCGGAACAAATCAGACGAGATTACACCTTTGATAATGTATATTTATTAGCATACTTGTAGCTATTTCTCTACTTAAAGTTCTGGAGTGACGTTCAGTCTAACTCAAGGCGAAATTAGAATTGAACAATTAAAAATGGTTTCATAGAGCTGATTTTCGGATTTTTTAAAATCCAGAAGGATTGGTTAAATTATTTTACGGAGTACAGAATCTTACGTTAAACCAGAAAATACATTCAGTGCTGTTGGTAGGATGTATGAACATTCATATTCACATCAGCGTCCTGGATATAACTTTACCTTAAATGAATGTCACTGAATATAAAATGACAAAAACCAATTTACCGGTAGGTAAGTCGAGGAGGTGTCGCTTCATCAATCCCAGCCCAAACTAAAACACACGAATCCTCTGGTTTTCGGAAGTTCCAATACCGTAAACGTGCATCATTACCACCGGCCACTATAGCTGGTAAATGAGTAATTTGAGAATGGGGTTTGTTATGTTCATTAAACGGTATAACATTGTTGTTAGGAAGGCACAAAATTGATCGGACTGATCGATGTGGTAAAGAACTATCAAGAACAAGAGGTGTTTTATTTCCTGGTTGAGCCCACGTCGAAGCTAAACATCCTGTACTGCGAACTGGTGCGAAAGAACCGGGGAGCCCATAATTACAGGATGAAATAGCTGCAGATGATGACGCTGTGGCTGAGGACTCCAAGTCCCAGATTGTCACTTCATTATGATGATCGGTTGCAGCAATAATCTATTAAATAAAATTTTAGAGGTTAGATTTATAAGAAGTTACAGGTTACTGTAAATAAAGCTTTAAAATCCCAAAAAGACATTTTGTGCCTTATCCTTGATTGTCATATGAAAAGTCTAGAAAATCAGTGTTTCAGTGACCAGTATTATTCTCAGCCAAGAAAATAACATTGTAGAGTACACTGCTATTTACCAATAAGGCCTCTAAAATAAGAAAGGTGTTATTCCAATCACTTTAATTAACAATTTAGACAGTTGACATGCATTACCCATCAATGAAAGATATGCGTAAGAACCACCAGTTGTTAGAAAGGTTGGGAAAACAATAATCCTGAACGAGCGAGAAAACATTATGACTTTCTAAATTAATTTCAGAGGTATCGTAGTATAATGACTTAATATTACCACTTAAACTAACTTAGTAGGATGTAATTCTATCTAATAGGTTCCGATCGAAGGTTTTGGATCTGGACGTAGATGTGTTGGTTAAGTTGTTACACTGACAAAATTCTAAAACAGGTATGCGTACCGACGCTCGACTGCAGTCATTACTTGGCCTGAATGCGACACTGTCTACCAAGAAGTCTCGTGGCAGTGTTCGTACCTTGAATCAGTGTCAAAATTGTTTTACATCTGAAAGCTCTGCTCTGGAACATTATTGATCATATCAGCGATAATGCCAAACAGTAATCTAAATTAGTAATAGTAAGTGGTGTTCGATAGATGCCTCTCTAGAAATAACACTACATTTCAATTTTCAGTAGTCGACCATCTATTTAAAGATCCAATCTTCAACTTGAAGTACGTGGATCATATAGCTCTACTTGATGGAGAAATCTGACAAAATTCAGTCTTATAAATGCTCCGAATTATATTTCAAAAAACACTTGGGATAAGTTCTTACTGCTCAAAATTTATGAAAAATATCTTGTTGGAGATATTTTCACCTAAGGACACCGTCATATCACGAAAAAACATGATAACTTTATAGTTTGTCCCAAAATCAGAACCCTGTAACTTTATCTTAATGTAGATGTTTCTCTAAAACAAATTTAGGCAGTGCAATACAAATATAACATGACATCATCCGTGCACAGACCTTGTATAGTACGATAATGGTCAAATAGTTTTTAGTTTTTATCATGTATCATATTTCATCCATAATGCAGGATATATCAAATGAAATTAACAACTTACCAACGTTTGTCCTACTTGATATGACTTTTCGGATGACTGAGGGAGATTTTGACCAGCATACTTTTTATCAAGTTCAAACCGAGAATGAGTTTCAGCTATTTGTAAATCTAAAATACCTATACCTGGTTGGTATGGATGTTCTGTATAAGCTATCTGACGTTTATATCTTAAATCCCAACATATAAGATGTCCACGACTGGTTCCTGTAACAAGCCATGTATGAAAACTATGTACTACCATCGAAAGTATTAAACCTAAATAAGAGATGAAAAATATTTGTTAATTAATAAAGTATCAAAAAATTACAAGATTCAACTTACGAAAGCATGATAATATATTCCCATTAACATTAAGCAATTAATATCGACTGATAGTTTCTACTTCGATATCACCAGAACTTTCTGTTTCATTCGCTTAAATTTCTAATCCTATTTGCTAACCAAGTACAAAGGATTTGTAATTATTTCTGAGTCATACCCATAGTGTAAGAGCTGGTGAATTGTAGACTGGAAAGTAGGTAAATCAGAATAAGAACAGATGACTCAGTGGTTCAAAGTCAAACTATGGCTCTACCACCAAACTCATCCAAGTGTACTAGTTGGAAAATTTTTCTTTTGAAGTTAGGAAACTGAACGTACTTTTACAGAGTTTATAGATTTTCACAAAGGTGGTGAAGAACAGGGTTCGAACCCAAAGGCCAAAATTTCGAGTAATTCTGCCTTATCATGGTGACAAGAAGGCAAGTAAAACAGACTAACAAAATGAAGTTTACATCTCACATTCACTAAGCATTTCCTATGTTATACAATAGGGTGAAAATAAAGCTTGACAGAAAAAAAAACAATTGACTACATACTTCGTTGATCCCGGATATATATATCTGTTTAATTTCGTACACATTCAATGACTTATTACGTTTACGCAATGCAAAGTCGAAATTCCGATTAAAAATGCTATTAGAGAAATCATAATTCGGGCAATCGTTTAATCAGATAAACCAATCTATAAGACAAGCACACGCAGATAGGATTGGTAACAGTCAAATTTGATTTAATCAAGAGTAATTTTGACAACACAAAGTAAATAATGTGTAAAATACCGATAAATAATCAGATAAACAAATACAAGTATACAAATAGA